GGAGTAGGACCGACTGAGCTAGAACCGGGCCGCTAACCGCGCGCGTTTCCCTACGCAGCGCGTGTTAATTGTTACAGTACATATGATACTTCTACAAAGAAACGAATAAGAATATTGCACAATACTGAAGTATGTGTATTCGAACCGTATTGAAAAATTGTTTACAATCTTCATTTACCTTTTCTGGAATCAAAGCAGATAAAACAACGAGTAATTGACATCTCTGTCGGTAATTCACTGTTCTTCTGCAAAGACGATACCACTTCTGAATGTATACTGGGGCATAAATTAAGGAGGTATAGTTCATTACTGCATGACTACTCGCATGTACAGCCGTACAAATCTGTAGACAACCCATAGTCCCAAAAATCGCGCGTCTTTAACGCTGCCGTCCATCTTCCACGGCCGCGGTCTGGCTCCTTGGGCAGTTCGCCTCCCGAGAGCGCCCCCTCCCCGAGCTGCTCCTCCTCCTCCTCCTGGCGGCGGCGCGCAGCTCGTCCTCGCTCCGGCCCTCGCAGCGCCGCCGCCGGCGCCGCGCCTCCGCCTCCGTCTCGACGCCGTCGCCCTCGCGCCGCCGCCGCCGCCGCTCCTCGGGCAGCGTCTCCTCGCACGCGCACTCCTGGCGCCGCCTGCGCCTGCGCGCCTCCGCCTCGCGCGCCAGCCGCCGCCTGCGCCGCGCGCTCAGCTGCGCCGGCGTCACCGACCGCCCGTGCTCCCCCGCCGCCGCCGCCGCCTCCGCGCTCTGGCACCGCCCGCGCACGCGGCGGTGCGATCTGGGGACGTGTGTCGTCACGTTCTCAAAACATCGACGAATGCGTGTATTCCGCATTTTATGGCGGAACTTGTGCCAGCTGGCGGTGTTCCCAGGACTGGACTCTCATTTCATTTTTTATTACCTACACCTGGAAAGACACTTTTCGAGCATTTTTGATTGATATATCCAGGCTCGTCAACTGCTCAAGTAATTACTTCCGTAAGTGTAGTACATGTTTTGTCGCGGTGTCAGTGAGTTTCTCCCGCTGGATGGCGAGATCCGACGCCAATCTACACGTCGGCTAGCGGGGTTTTCCCCAATCCGGTATCTTCCACCAGCGACGCGTCGCCCCAGCCGGAACGAGCTGTTAACTCCTGGTCGGTCTCCCGACGCATGTGGTAGGTTAGTGCATGTAACTGTGCATTTAAGTTAAAAAGATAGGACACGGAAGAGGAAGGTCCTTGGCCCCTTTGTTAAAGTATAGCTCCGACTTTTGTCTGGTGTTGATCGGAGAAACCACGGGAAGCTACGGATCATAGCAGCCGGCCGCTAGAATTCTCCTCCAGACAGCGGCTGAATTCGATCTAGTTATGTGGGTAGTGCCGAAAATCCTATCACTGTCGAGTCTCAAGCCCTAGGACCTTTCGCTCAGAGGCACTGCAGTGGTATGAAATGATGCCCTGAGCCAGCTCACCTGGTCGCAGAATATGATATACACAGCAGTGAAAGAAAAGAGAAAAGAGGTTGAGGGGAAGGAGTTACTAAATAGCCTAAAAAATTTGATGTTGATAAACATTGACGTAAATGTGTTTTAAAATTAGGTTTTTAAAATTTGAACTTAGTTGTTCTAAAACGCCTTTAGGATAGCTCATGGGCAAAGTAATAGCTTCCCATGGTATGATCCCCGGTTTGATTCCCGGTCGGGGTAAAAATAGAGTTGTAGCTTTCCTTTCAAATCGTCTGAGTTTCGGTAGCTATTTGGGGAAGTAAAGCTCAAGCAGGCGGAGTTTCCTAGTTACGGTGAAGGGATTACGTCATGTTAGCCACATGTCTATCTTGCCCTCCCCCCATCCAAGCGTGAGATTTAAATTAGACCCAGACAAGGGAGTCACCGTTAGCTAGCCGGCAAAGTCGGACAATTGACTCCAAACCGCCAAATACATGGTTGGTTGCGAAGGCTTCCGCGACTGGAGTTTGTATTATCTAGGCTACCCGGGCCGAACCGCATCACTGACATGGTGGTTAACGTTTCGGCCAGCGTACTGTGGCCTTCTTCAAAACGTACTTCTACACCAGAACGTTCTGAGGACGGACACAATACTCTGGCTGAAACGTTAGCCACCATGTCAGTTACGCGGATTATCCCGGATAGCACAAACACATGACTGTTCTGAAACATGTGGCTGTTGTATGCCTACCTCGACCGCAAGCGTGGTGGGCGTCGGCGCTTGTGGACTCCTCGGCTGCTCGCCGGGCACCAACTCGAGACCCGCGCTCGGCGGCGGCGCTTCACGCGCGTTTTGCGTGTGACACGTGGCTCTTGGGAGCAGCAGCACGCGTCTCGCGGCTCCCTCTCGTCCTCCGTTCCGTCCTCGCGGCACCCGGACCTCCCTCGGCTCCTCCTCCAACTCCCTCTCGAGCTCTCTTCCGATCCGCTGCGCTCCTCCACTTCGCAGCCACGCCCTCTCCTTCTCTTGGATTCCGGTTGCTCTCGCAGCGCGCCCGTCCTCCTCCTCCTCCTCCGCAGCTCCGCCCCTCTCTCCACCGCGCCTTCCTCCCCGTTCCATTCCGCCGCCCCCTCCCACGCGCCGCGTCGCCTCCTCCGCCGTTCCTCCGCATCGTCCTCGCCGCACCCTCCCCCGCGCCGCCACGCCAGCCGCTCCTCCGGCGACATTCGGAATCGACTCGGCTTGTTGTGCGCGCCGGTGCTGCGCTCTGGGGCGATTCGCCTTTAGGAAGTGCGTCCCCTCGGAAGGCGAACTTCCGCCACTAAACGTCAAACTCTCTCCGCTGGCAGACACCTGACGCGGGTCACTCGACCTCGGTCCTTGTCCATGGACGGGCGCGGCGTGCGGGGGTGGGGTTTTCGGAAGGTCTTCTTGTTGACTTGAGCAGAAAGAGAACTTCCACTCCGCTGCCTCTCGGCCATTCTTCCAAGTGTTCACACAGGACGCGAGAATTGATCTTGGTGATTGATGGAAGATTTGACTGGAAATACCATTTTCAATACGTTTAATAACCACAGGTGTGAAATGAAACGAAACAAAAATACCCACATGTTAAAATTGGATGTTGTTTACGTCAACTGTTCTCACGGAGAAATTTACATGGTTTGAAAAACATTGAATGTTCTTTGAGTATTTACAGAAGAATGCAGGGGGCATTGTTTCACATTACCTACGTGTATCAATAAATGTTATTAGTAACCAAAAATAGACTTGTTTTGTAATTTGAAAACTATTTTGTACGTAATCGATATGTTATATTATATAATGTAATTGTAAATAAAAAAGAAAATTTGGTTTTACAAAAGGGTGAAGTGACTTTCAATATCTTTGTGAGGTGTAATCATGAAGACGGAAAGACTAAAAGAAATATTATTTCTCTGGTAAATAATTCAAATAAATAATTTGTTAACTCGATTTAAAGTAAAAAATAAAATTCAAGAACTCTATTTACTCGCATAAAATCAGATCTAGAAAGAAATTTTGAAACTACGAAATTTCTTTATTTAAATCTTCTCGATTAAAGAAAGTATTATATGAAGAAACGAATAGATTATGTATTGTATTCATAATTATCATAAACGAACATCCACATGTTGCCAATATCTAATTAATCTGTTTGTATCGATAGTTAATCTAATATTTGCTTGATACAGTTACATTTACGTGAAAAACGAGGAGGTTCTTATTGACTGCAGGATGATATTGCCACCATTTGTATTAATATTTCAAAACATAATTAATACAAGAAATGCTCTACGCATATCAGTTTTACTTCATTCTCAGTTCATGATCCTTTTTAAATTTTAAATTTTCCTTCGGAATACAAATTTTTCATGTTCGATTTTTGATGCAAACACTTCAACGTCAGCGACGTACAACCCTTTTGAACTTCTTGAATTATTTACTTACTACTCTTCAGCGAACAATCCTTTCTCGTACTTACTAAAAACCTTTTAGTGAACCTTGGAAGAAAGAACAGGGTAGGTTAGGAAAGAATAGTAATACATTTCAGTCCATATATGCCAGTTTGGAGTAGAAAACCAAGTGACACACGTCACACTAATTTGACGTATGATTTGAAGTGAAGTTTCAAAGACATCAATAGAGACATAGAAGACGTTTAAGTAAGATTAAGCTAGTGTAATATTGATAATTTTATGAATATTAATGAATATGAATGATTATGAATAATTTGCAAATATAAATGTACTATTTAAGTTTATAGGACTCATCACTTATGAAAAAGCAACATTTAACAAAAGTACGTTTGAAATTAAAGAGATGCAATATTCAGTTACATTCAATGATACCAAGAGAAGAAGTGTTAAACCTGGATTCCGAATTCCAAATACGATTTCTGTAATAGTTGCAGTTGCATGTGCTTTATTCTCAATGAGTGTTGATTGTCATCTCACTTTGAAACACTTCAGCAAAGAAACTTCACTCACTACATCAACTGTAAGTTATCGCAAGAAATGCTTTAGAATTGCTTAACTGTATTTTCAAGACCCATAAGAAACTAGAGGTTTTCTACATATTTCTATAGAGGTTTATATTCTAAACTAGAGGAATTTCAATGAAATTAATCTCTTTACTGGCGCAATTGGATATTCTACAATTTGTAAATTACTTGATTATACAGTGCACAGAAACCATTCATGACTCTCTTGCCCTTTTCATTAATTTTCATTTTCATTACATTATTCATTTGATATGCCTTATCCTTTTTACCTTAGTGCAAAAAGCAAAGGGAGTAATGTTCTAAGGAATTAGTTTCTATTTCTCTGTTTAATTAATGGGGCATTTCCAATCAAGACATCCATCATAGATAAACTTAAGTCATCCGTCATCTCTTGTAGCAGACGATTTACTTGTTCCTTAATTGAACTTATTGCTGAACTCTTTTTTACACAGTGTTTGGTATACTTTCTGTGTATATCTTTTCTTTTTTGATAGAGACAAATCCATCATTCCCGGGCACCTAGCGATGTCACACGGAAGCGAGAGAGTGGTGTGTGGGGGGAGGCACAGAGCTCGAAAGCGGCCGATGTTCGAGGGAATGTGCGGGACGCTGTGCGAGACGATACACGAGATGCATTGCGAGCTGATGCGCGAGGCAATGCACGGGGCAATGTGTCAGCTGGTACACTGTCCGACGTACGGGGCGAAGTGGAAGGTAATGTGCCGATCAAAGCACAGGGTGGTAAGAAAGGATATGTGCGAAGTGATATTCAGGGCGATGGTATTCGGGGTGTTGCACAGAACGATGAGTGGATTGGGACAAGGCGCAGTGTGCAGGGGAACGCACGGGTTGACAGACAAGATGTAGGTGGTCATAAACGGGGCGATGAAGGGAGGATTGAGTGGGCTGATGTCCGGGGCGATGTGCAGGACAAAGTGCGAAACGATGCACGGGATGAACGGGGCGATGTACGGCGCGATGTAAGAGCCAATGTGTGGGCAGGTGTGCGGGGCGGTGTGCGGGACGATGCACAGAGTGATCTGCAAGACGATGTGTATGCCGACTCTCGAGGAGATGACTGGGCCAATGCACAAGACGGTGAGTGGGATAGATTTCAGAACAATAGGCAGGGCTATAACCAGGCTGATGCCCGGAATATGTGGGCTAATGTACGGGGTGACATGCATGGCAATGACCGAAGCGATGCTCGAAACGTTGAATGGCCTAGCGATCAAAGCGAAACACTGGGCAATATGCTAGGGAATCTGCCGACTGAAGTACGGGGTAATAAGCAAATGTTTGTGCGGGGAGAAACTCGGGGCGGTGTTTGGAACGTTGAACGGGAAAATCTGTGGGAATTAGTAAGAAGTGTTGTGCGGGGTAATGCATGGGGTGATGTGCGGCGCGGTGCAAGAGGCAATGTGCGGGCTGGTGTACGAGGTGATGTACGGGGCAAGGCACAGGATGATGGGCAAGACGCTATGCGGGTCGACACTCGGGGCGACCACGTAGGGGACAATAGGTGGGGGATGGAGGTGCGGGGCGATGGTCAGGGTGGTGCACGGGACAATGTAAGGAACAGTGTACGGGATGTCATGCGGGGTGATGCGCAGAACAATGAACGGGCTAGCGTATGGGATAGTACGTGGGGTGATGCACGGCGCAATTTAAGAGCTACCGTAAAGGGTGATAGGCGGGATGATGCACCAAACAATGTGCGGGATAGTGTACGGGGTGATGTGCAGGCCGATGACCAGGGCGATGCACGAAACGATGTGCGAGCTAGCGTACGAGGCGACATGCGGGTCGCAGTGCCACGCGCAGCGTTAGGCTACGTAAAGGGTGAGGCACAGAGCGAAGTCCCGTTCGCTGCAGTCGCGGGTGGGCGTGGTCTTGCGGCTGCCCTGAGGCGAAAAGGCTGGCGCCCCGACTCGCCGCCCGCGGCCGCGCTGGCCTGGGCTGAGGCAGGGGCGGAGG